CCCCCCGGAGGGGACGGCGTGACCCCCACCCTGGGAGCAGGGGGGACAGGGAGCATGGGGGACCCCTAAAAGTGGCTGAAGACAATTCCAGGAGCTTAGCGGAGACTGTGGAGGGGCTGAGGACACCCTGGGGACACTCAAGGGTGGCTGAAGATACCTAGAAGGGGTGGGGAACACCCTGGGGTGGCTGTGGACCCCCCGGGGACACCCAAGAAGGGCTGGGGGCATCTTAGGAAGACCCAGGAGGAGCTAGGGACATCTTAGGGAGTGTTGGGGACACCCATGAGGAGCTGGGGACCTCCCGAGGAGGGCTGGGACACCCTAGGGACACCCAAGAAGGGCTGGGGGCATCCTAGGGAGACCCAGGAGGAGCTGCGGACATCCTAGGGAGAGTTGGGGACACCCAGGAGGGGCTAGGGACCCCCCCAGAGGAGCTAGGGACCCACGATGAGTGTTTGGGAGCTGCAGGAAGCATTGGGTGCCCTGGGGACACCCCCGAGAGCCCTGGGGACCCCATGGGGACAGTAGGCACATCTTGGGGAGCATTAGGAACCCCTGGGGAGGGGGTGGATCCCAAGGGGAACCCTGGGGACCTCCAGGAGATGGCAGGGACCCCACAGGGAGCCCCCAGGACCCCCCTGGGATAGGAGAGCCCCCCCCCCAGGGAGCCCCAGTGACACCCACAGAGACAGCACAGACCCCCCAGGAAGCCCCAGGGGCACCACCAAGGAGGGCAGGGACCCTCCTGGGAACCCTGGGGACACCCCCAAGGAGGGCAGGGACCCCAGAGGAAGCCCCGGGACATCCCCAAGGAGGGCAGGAAGCCCTGGGGACCCCCAAGGAGGGCAGGAAGCCCAGAGGGAGCCCCGGGGACCCCCCCGGGGAGGGCAGAGAACCCCGAGGGAGCCCCAAGGAGGGCAGGGAGCCCAGAGGAAGTCCTGAGGACACCCCCAAGGAGGGCAGAGACTCCCCCAGAGAGAAGAGGGACCCTCAGGGAGCCCCGGGAACCCCCTCGGGGGGGGCAGGGGGTCATGGTGGAGGGCAGCTGGAGGTAAGCGGGGTTGTGGGTGGTGACGCCGATCTCGATGGAGCCGGCCCACTTGTCGACCATCTTGTCGATGCGTACCTGGAAGAGCTCGTTGTCGCGCAGCGCCCGGCCGCTGAGCACCACGCCGTGGTTGAAGTCGTCGGTGGCGCTGGGGGCGCGAGGGACAACCGGGTCAGCGAGGACGGCGGGACAAGGACGCAGCGGGACGGCAACCCGGGGAGAGCAGGGACACGGAGCGCGGGGACGTAGGGTCAACAAGGACACGGCGGGGGCGGCGGACGCCCTGAGGGCGGGCACGGGGGGGGATGCAAGGACACGGTGGGGGGACAAGGACATGGGGGACAGTGACACAGAGCTGCCACAACATCCCCATTCTCCTCGTCTCCGCATCTTTGCCTTTCTCTTTTTTACATCCTTGTCCCTTCGTGTCCCTACAGGCGCCACGCTGTTGTCCCCATGTCCCCGTCCTCTCCCATAGCCCTGTCCCCAGGCCATCCCATGCCACCGTGCGTCCCTGTGGTCACAGCACTGTCCCTGTGTCTCTCGTGTCCTTGTCTGTGGTGCGCGTCCCTAACTCGGGTACAGAAACGTCTCTGACACTCCTGTGTGCCCCCAAGAGCGGCCACGAGTCTGTCCCCATGTCCCTAGAATTGCTCCCACATCCCGCCTGTCCCGCGTGATCGTCCATCCGCAGGACTGTTCTCATGTCCACGGTGTCTCTGTCCACCCTGCGTGTCCTTAACTGTAGCCGCAGGACTGTCCCCTTGTCCCTGCGTCCCACTCACGCGGCCCTGATGGTGACCACAGCGCTGCCACCACGTCTACGTCTCACCTGCGTACTCCTGATGCTGACCAGAGGAGCATCTCCACGTTCCTGTTCCATCTACGCGTCCCTAACAGTGACCACAAGACTGCCCCGTGTTCCTGTGTCCCACCTGTGCGCCCCGATGGTGACCACAGGACCCTCCCCAGGTCCCTGCCCCACCTCTGCGTCCAACTGTGACCACAGATCCATCCCCGTGCCTGTGTCCCACCTGCGCGTCCCTGGAGGTGACCACAGGACCACGTCCCTGTCCACCCTGCGTGACCCCACATCCCCCGTGTCCCTGTCCCCCTCAGCATGTCCCTGACCGTGGCCACAGGGCCGTCCCGGCGTCCCCCCCTCCCTCCTCGTCCCCGTCCCCGCGGCGTGGCTCACTGTGGCCGCAGGGCCGTGCGCCCCTCGTTGACGATGGCGGCCTTCTGCCCGCAGTTGGGGTGGAAGAGGAGGCGGTCGGGGTCGGGCTCGGGGACGCCGGGGGGCTCCACCACGCCGTACACCACCAGCGGCGTCAGCGTTGTGGCCACCCCTGGGGACGGGGACGTCATCGAGGGCTGCGCCAGGGGGCCCCACCGTGCTCCTTCCCTGCCCCGGGGTGCTGGCACAAGGGACACCCTGCTATGGGGACATCACTGAAGACCACGTCCAGGTCTCCTGCCCGCTCCAGGGCAACCTTGCTATAGGGAAGTCACCAAGGACCGTGTTGGGGGCCCATGTGTCCCCTTCCCGATCCACGGTGCTGGCATGGGGGGACACCCTGCTACGGGGACGTTACTAAGGGTCACATTAGGGTCTTCCACGTCCCTTATCTGGTTTTGGCCACCAACATAGAGAGAATCGTAGGGACGACGATGTCACCGAGGGCCGCGATGGAGTCCTCCAGGTCCCCTGCCTGTCCCAGGGTGCTGGCACGGGGGACGTCCCACTATGGGACGCCACCAACAGCTCGGCCGGGGTCCCCTGCGTCCCCTGCCCGCCCCAGGAC